TTTATATATTTATTTATTTACTTATCTAGGTCAAGTCGAGACTGAAAAAAAAAATACTGCAAACTTATACGTACATTCAAGCAGAAACTCCTAGATTTTATAGATTATGCTTTTGTTCACACATTGGGTATCTCAAATCAATAATTCTGGTTTAGCCATGGATACAGTTATTTAATTCAACAACTAAATTGGCATTTGCCCTTCACTACCCTAACTCACTAGAGAGGATGTCACTGAGATTAACCGTTAGCCGTAAAGTGACCAAAAATCAGTCGTAAGACGTAAAAATTGTCAAATTTTAACAGTCATGATCAGTTAACCGTAATTATCTTTTTCTTTTAATCACAAAGGAAGTAAGTTAACCGTTGGCCGTTTGCCGTTAAGATGGCCAACATTTTAATCCAGGGCTCGACACAAACGGTAGCCAATTAGCTACAGACTAGTAGAAATTCAGTTTTGGCTAGTGGTTTTCGATTTCCACCTGCCAGTTTGGCTAATACACAAACTGAAATTGTCGTAACATCTAAGATGTCACTAGCCACTTGGCTAGTAAGTAGAAAAGTTAGTGTGGTGCCCTGTTATCGTAGGCCGTAAAAGACATCATCCCATTGAGGCTTTCACTAAGATATCCTTACACTATCCAGCAAACAGTGGATGGGAATGCTCAAAGTTCTCAAGAAGAAGTAGTTTTCTTTATCTATAATCAAATTCTCGTAACTTACTTAGAAGGGAATGGGTAGCAGCTAGAGGGGAAAATTAACAATCAGATCTTGCCAGTCAATGGGTTAAGCAAGATCAAGAAAAACAGTGTACATGCAGCGGTAACTGCACAGATCTGTTGAGACCTTCGTTATTCTTACAATTGTTAGGAACAAGATGGTATTGCACCGCACATGTTCAAAACTGTGATTGGGCGTGGTCACCCTGAGTTCTCGACTAACAGGCAGCAAGACGCACAAGAGTTCTTCATGCATTTACTTGACTCTATAGACAGAGCCCAGGTATATTTCAGATGTATTAAGAGGATTTTTATCGTTCACTTCCCATCACTAACTACAGCGTACATGAGTTTTTCAGTTATAGTAACTTGTTAACCGATGCAACTTGAGTGTGAGGATGAAAACGTGACCTTCGTTCTATTTTAAACGTCGTACTCAACTATCAGATGGAAAAAAACAAACCAAGGGTTTTTGCGTCCTGTTTTCTCTTTACGCAGTAAATGGACATTGAATGATTCGTGTTTCACCCAATCATAGCGTTTAGTAACGCTTATTTGTAATTGTGAGTGTAAAGGTTTTAGCATGAATTATATTATTCTTAATTTCTTGCAGCGATCCAGTGCAGGGGCCATCAACCCAACAGACTCATTTAGATACAAGGTGAAGTGTCCAAACTTATGATGCAAAAGTAATTCAGTGCACTGTTTACTTTCCCCCCTTCGAGTCATTTTCGTTTATTAGGAGAAATAAAGTTGATTCAAACCCCGATGAGCATCGCGAACTTTTATAAAAGCTGTTAATTGATGGTCATAACACAGAATTCTTGAAAAAAAAAAGTCTTCGAACAAAACAATGTCAAACATTTTCTATGTTTACTTATCATATGAAGCGCCTTTGTCTTGACTTTCACGTTTCGTGTTCTTGAAAAACCTTCTCCAACGTGACGGCTTAGCAACTGTAACGTTTAAAAGAGGAAAGGTTGGACTTAAGGCAAAAGTGTTTTCGCAGTTGCAACGAGGGCTTTCACCACTTTACTGAAGTTATTTTAGTGCCAGGTTTTCTTGAATTTAGAGGCTGTTCTGTACATCCCAATAGTGTTTGTTCAATTAGAATTGTGACAATGTCATGAAAAGTTAGCATGCATATGCGCATGTGCCTATTACGTTCTTATTATTCAGGTGGAAGAACGCACGCAGTGTATGAAATCAGGAAAAGTTCGTTACAACAGCCGGGAGGATACCTTGTTGTCATTATCAATACCGATGAAAACTGTATTGAATAAAGGTAACAAATTTCCTTCGTATACTTTTACTTTTCTGTTTAACGAAGAAGGAACTTAAGCAGCCACAACGGCGACGCTCAGGGGACATTTGCATTAGAAGTTATGAATTTTTTAGTGGCACTTGATGTTCATCTTTGTACCAAGCAAAATTTGGCAATTTAATTTTTTCGTGTTTTTTTTTTTTTCTTTTTTTGAACGACAGCTACGTAATCGCACATGCAAAGCTTTAATTTTACCAGTTGAACACTTTTCTCGCCACTTTCTCATTTCCGTCGCTTTCCAGGTTTTCTTAAGCTCCCTCATTAAAATTTATAGGCGCACTTTGCTTTGTCCTGCCTTAATTTTTTGGCGAGACTCACTTACAGGAGTACTATCAGTTTAAGCGCTTATTACTGACCTTTTTTCATTCACTTTGTCACATTTGCAGAGGAAGTAGCTGCCTACGAATTAAAACAGAAAGAAGCAGAAGAAAAGAAAGAGAGACTGTATGTAATATCCTTTTTCTAGTCCATACACCTATCACTAACAAGTGCTATTATTAGCTAGCACTGTCACCTCCGAGCAAGAAACCCCTCAATCCCCATGCCTTGAAGAGTTATTGACAAATACTTTAATGATTTTTTTTTCTAGCCTTACATGTGAGTGCGAATGAATTAAAACAAGATACATGTAATTCTGGGAATAAGCAATATTTCTCAGCAAGCTGAAAGCCAGATATCCAGTATCCTTTCAGTGAAAAGAACTTTTTGTCACTTTTGATTTGCAGAGACCCAAGTGAAATTGTTCGACCCCGGATAGCAATGTCAGCGTGTATTGAAGCTTTTGCTGCTCCTGAAATTGTAGATGATTTTTATAGCTCTGCACTTAAAGCAAAAAGTGTGGCGCAAAAGTAAGTTGTATACCTGGCAGCACTTAACACTTTCGTGCACTCTTTATCTGAATGATTTCTCCTCACGACAATTCCCCTGAGTCAATCGTAAACGACACAAGAATAAAGAAAATTGTAACCATTTTAAACAAGATTGTTTAAAAATTCCCCTTGTCAGCTCCCTAGGAAATGTATTGCGAACAGTATGGAGAATATGCATACTGATGTTGGGGTGTGAAAAGTTAATGAATATCTCGTATGTCAACGTAGCCCTGAAGTGATTCGAACAGTACATACTTGGCCGAATTGAACAACCGATTTTTATTACAATGATGATAGCATTTTTTATGGCAAAGTCAATTTTGTAACAAAAAATTCCTACAATAGCTTCCTGAAAACTTTGTTGGGAAGGTCACTAATTGCAAAACGCATTTCAACGAATATTTGTGTGTGTTTGTTTGTCAGAACAACTAGATTTGCCACGTTTCCAAATTACCTGATGGTACAGATGGAGAAGTTTACTCTCGCTGATGACTGGACTCCAAAGAAGTTAGGTATGGCCAGTTTTTTGTTATCAATACATGTTTACAAGATCAAAAAAGGGTGTTTCGGCACTACACATATAAATTAATCTGCTTTCTGCACTCAAACTGAGCCAAAATGACTACTGGCAGTTGCTGCGCACACTCGAAAGGTGACCGTCTTTGTTCTACGTTCTCTTGACGCTTAACTAGAAACACAATTTTCTCTAAGCTATTTTTGCACGCCAACGAAACCTAAAGAATGCATTTTGGAAAAAGTGTTTTTCTTCAAATGGTCGCTCATTTGAGAAGCGGCTTGCTCGTACCTTTACCTATTCAAGTGTAAAGTCCTCTTAGAGATTGTTTTGTAATTTGTTTCCTAGATGTTTCTGTAGACATTCTAGATGAACTAGACCTGACCCATCTAAGAGCAACTGGTCTCCAGTCCAATGAAGAAGAACTCCCAGAAGATGAACAGGCTCCAGCAGGTACATCGTTCTGAGTCTCGCAGTAGTTTGTAAAATTTTTGTGGACGAGCTGTCTCACTTCAAATGAAGTTGGGTGCTAGGCCAAGGGGTATCCAAGGCTTCTCGTTTTGTCCAGCCAGCTTCCAGATATAATTCTGGCAAATGTCCGCAACCAAGCCTTGGGCCCCCTTCCCAAGTATCCCTCAACACAGATCAGATGGAAGGAAAAGAAAATGAGGTTGGGTAAGGCAAACAGTCGCTGAAAAACTGCTCTTGACTTATAATCAAAAACTACTGAAAAGCTGCTTTAGAACTCTGATTTCCAGCTGTAATTAAGTGTGAACTTGTGTTCGTCAGATTGACCGCTGACCAGAAAGTCCTATTAAGTTTGTGGCGGTAAATTCTGTTAAGTGGTCATTTGACTAAAATGCCACCTTCTCAATCAATCAATTTCAGAGGTTAGACCAACAAAGACGTGATACCAAGCTTTTTTCATGCGCTTAATTTAGCGCCGGGCACTTGTATTTCCTATCTGTGTATGGAATGTGGAAAACAATGTGCGGAAGAAGGTTGCCGAGAGCACTTTTTTTCGTAATGTTTTGATTGCCATGCCCCCAGATCTTCGCACCGTTCTAAACCAAAACCTAAATTTCATTTCGCTTTTATTTCTTTCAAGCTCCTCAGATCCAAATCGATGATAATGTCGTTGATCAGCTTGTATCTATGGGCTTCGACAAAGAGGGCTGTCGGAAGGCTGTCTATCACACAAAAAACCAAGGTAAGAAAACCATCCACATACCTGTACAAATATTTAAACTGTGAAAGTAACTTTATGTAGAGATGTTACACATTTGATTACTTTTTTATAATTTCGCGGTGGTATACTTCAGAAATTGAACAATAGATAATTTACCCGAAGAACTACCCCGATTAAACCAGCTGGGGTTACGTGTGATAAACGTCTGTATAATGCTAGGATCAGCAATATTGATTGCGACTATTTTAGAGCAAGAAAGATGCCAGGTCAAACGAAAAAAGAGCAACTTATTTTGGATTTTACTTGTCTATCTTTTCTTTGATTAGGAGTAGAACCTGCCATGAACTGGGTTCTCGAACACATGGGTGACGCAGGTGAGATGACTGTCGGTCACTATTTTTGCTGTTTAGAGTTTAACGTAACATCTGAGGCTATTAGCTCTTAACGTGCCCAGGTCACGATTTGTATATCTTAAACATTTTAGCCTTCATTTGTTAACTTTATCATTTGCAATCCATGTGAGTGTTATCAGTGTTTAACTACGTTCGTATTTGGTTGTTTTGTTTTTTTATCCTAATTTTGTTCTTTTCTGTCTCATCAAACTTATACTTAAGAATTTGTTCATGCTTAGCGTGCGTATATCGAGTTATAGATGCGCGCGGGAAGTATATCGAGTTATAGATACACGCGGGAAGTTTGGAGAGCACGAAAAATGCGTAAGAATAGCTCGAGGCGTAGCCGAGAGCTACTCTAGCTTTTTTTTACTCACGGGCGTGCGTAAATAAAGATTTTGTTCGTAGTTGCTCCCTAGGACTTGATAGGGCAAGCACGCGCGCTATGTTATAATTGTTGATTTCCTCCTTGCTCAAGGTCATTTAATTTACAAAAAGTACAAAAATAATTTCAGATATCGGTCGTGACGAAGTCCCTTGAAGAGAGCAATTCGGTCATGCATATCTACTTCATTCTGGAAATTATCACTGAGTTACAGAAGTGGCTAACTGATATTTTCAACGACAATACATGTTTTCCTAGAAGACGTGTTTGCCATAATGTTTCGGCCCATCACTGTGCTCCGCTCGTTAACCTCTCACATGTACTAAACAAAGAACTTCTCGCAGTATCGATAAATTGTGCGGCAAACTGGTGATGAGAATGAAATAAAAAACTTACATGTATAAGCCTGTGGGTGTTTTCGTGATATATTGGAGAGATTTAGCACCGCGTTCACGTGAAACATGAACGGCAAGAGTGACCACGAGACCTTGTTTTTCCCGCGATTTTTTTATATTTGCCGGTTACGCTTTGCCGTTTCTACGTGAAAGTAACCTGTTTAGTATTTGCTATTCCTCGTAAGGTCCTACAAGGGCGCCCTCACATCTACCATGACGTCAGCTCACGCGCAGCTAAAGCAGCAAGGTTCACGCTATTTTGCGTGAAACGTGAAAGGGCAAGCTGGCGTTTGCCTTTTCACGTAAAGGCGGTGCTAAATCTTTCTAAAAGCAGATTCTCTTAACTGTTTCAAAAGGAGATGAACTGGCAATAAGATCACAGGAATCAAACTATTGGCAAATACATCCCTATGCGCACTAATTCTTCTCACATTGGTAGGAGTGGGTTACAATGATTTACTTGAAATGGTGTTTGTGGGGATTCCTGCGTTGTACCAAGAAGAATGAAAATTAATTCTTGATGCTCTTGAAACGATTTCAAATCTCCCTGAACCATTCTGTCTTTATTCTTCCAGATTTTAATTCACCACTAATTCTTCCTGGTGGTCAAGACTCCAAAGCTGTCGATGAAGAATCATTGGCGATGATTATTTCGATGGGTTTTACTGAGGCACAAGCTATCAAAGCTTTAAAAGCCACTGTGAGTATCACTTCCACGTAAAGAAACTAAGTCTTTGAACCAAGTTTTTTTTAACTCCCCACAGACCATTTTTTTCACATGCGTTATCTACAATTGTAACTCATCACTTCCGTTGAGTGTTTTTTTGAGTGCATTCTTCCTTTCTCATCTCCTTTCGTTACTTTGTTTCTTTTTCGTTCAACCCATCGCGTGCTCGTTTGGTCTTCGCTCTTTAGTTCGTTTGTTTGCCATTTCATTCGGATGGTCAGCTGCTTGATTCGTTGTTCATTTTGTCGCGCACGTGTTTTGTTCGTACCTGTCATACTGGTTGGGAATATTATTCACTCAGTTTGCTATTGTTGTCCTCACCGCAATACAGGACAACAACTTAGAACGTGCAGCGGATTGGATATTTAGTCATGCGCATGAGCTAGACTCTATGGAAGAGGAAAGTTCAGCTAACCAGGAAACTGGACCCCATTACAAAGACGGACCAGGAAGTAAGTAACGTTTCGAGACAGGTTTTTTGTTTTGTGAACTGAGCGGTGGGAAGGGTGTTTGATTTGTGTTATTACACACAGGATTTCATTCTACGTATGCCCAGGGAAGCACCTTTTCTTACAAGGGGGAAGCACCGGTTAACTGTTAAAATCTCTCCTCACGAGTATTTTCCAGTAGATAATTGCTATTTGGTAGATAAAGTTGGGACAAGATGTCAACAGGAGCGAAGTGCAACCATATCAATTTGCGGTGAAACACCGAGATCAAGTTGCGCTGCAAGTAAACAGTCAATTTAATGGAATACAATGGAATAACATTGTTTCTTCTTCCTGTTGTTTGTGTACATAAATATAATGCTATGGAGATAACTTGTTTGATAAGCACCTAGCGAGATGGTTAAAATCCAAATACTGTGGTTTTTTTATTGTATAACATGCTCCTTGTGATGTCAAACCTCTTTCAGAATACCGTCTGATTGCCTTTATCAGTCACATGGGTACATCAACAATGTGTGGTCATTATGTTTGTCACGTGCTAAAGGACGGAAGGTATTTTTTTTTACTCACAAATTTTTCTAATCAAATTGCGCCATAACCATGAGCTGGTGTTAACTTTTTTTTCTTAATAGGTGGGTTATTTTCAATGATCGTAAAGTTGCTCTGTCAGAGAAGCCGCCAAAGGATCTTGGGTATTTGTATTTGTACCAGCGAGTGTAAAACTAACTCAATCATGCGCTGTCTTTTTTTTCTGCGCTTCGTAAGTTCTTCAGTGAAGTTTTGCGCGGAGTCATGACAGAGACGGACGTTGGAGAATCCAGTCTGCAATGGATTTGAAAAGTAAAAGAACAGTTGCTTGTTTACAGGCGTCTTGAAATAACATATTAGACAACTTTTAAGTCGGATCTGAAAGAACCTTCACAAACGCATTAGATTGTTAATAAATTTGTTTATTCTGAATAATGGATTTGCTGTAATTTGTTGTAATGTCAGCCTAGAGGCAACTTTTATCAGTTTTGCTTACGACTGCTTCATGTAATCTTGTAAATCTCCTTTTAATTGGTATGTAGCATTGGGCGTAATAGTTGCCTAACCTACACACTATTTAACATTTTGATTCTAGTTGCAGGCTGCCTTAAAGGCATCTCTCTCTGCGTGTAGCAAGGTTGTCTTCATAGAAAAATATTGAAATAACTCTAAAGCCTTTTAGAAGTTCAAAGAAAATCTAAATCTATGCGGTTTTGTTTGATCTTGTTTGTTCATAGAGGTCCTTATTGGCAAAATGTAAAATTTACTTCTAAAGCTTATCAACCAACTTTTGTGAGGGGAATTAACTATTTTCTTGTAGGTAGAAACAGTTTCAGGGCTCATACTGTGTTATAGTGTTGTGAGATCTCCAGGAGTGATGCTTTGTCCGTTGTTCTGTTGACACGGAAGTCAATGAAAATCTGTTAGAATCCGCAGATATATCACCCTCTCTGACTGTATCCTGGTCTTGAATGCCACATGACTGGCTCAGCGGCACATTTCAACCCTCTGTTAAAGCTTTCCTTGAGCAGTCCACGTACTCTTTTAGAAGTAGTGAAGCACAATGCGATAAAAAACCCTGAAACATATTTCATAGAAAATCAATCATCAGAAATTTAATTATCATTAAATGTTCGTAGAGAGCCGAAGTAAAAAGTAAAAAGCCAAAGGCTACGTGGGGCACTTTCCTCCTTTATGACGCCCCTTCAATAAGCGGGGCCACCGGGACTGAATGCACCTGTTCGCGAACTAACTACAACAAATACGTTTGGCACAACCTTCTCTAAACAGCCTCAAAATCTATTTTCCTAATTAACAATGCTTTTCATTTTTTTTAGTATGCTTCTGTTTTACTGTGAACGTTTTCTTGCATTCTCTCTTTTCTCTTTTTCTTAGTTGCTAATTTTTATTTTTTAAGAACGCGATGTTTGCTGTATGGGCCTCGCTCACGAATAGAAGCAGCATGTTTTACGCGTTGAAATATATTAAACGTTGCGGCACTTCATCAAATCAAATATTTCGGCGACGGTGCACTGTTTGTTCACGTAGGTCTCGAACACTGTTCACTTATACTAGTTTGCATAATCGATACTATTTTTTGTTTTTTTTTTATTGAACATTGCTTGAGATATTGCCTTCATAGGTGGCTGTAGTCTCTCCCCAGAAACGACCGCTTGCTTGTGAAAAAATTAACTGGCGAAGTATCCATTTCGTAATTTTTCCACAAATAATGAATTTCATCAGGGTTTCGCTTGGCGAAAAATGTTGTTGGGGTACCATAATCTTACAACTGCCCCCTCATACTTTACAAAATTTTATCGTGGAATCACTAGATTTTGTTTGAATTACGGAGAGATTTGCTCTTGCTAATAAACTCTACAGAAGCCATTCATTTTTGGGAAAATTTGAATAGGGAGTGTGGACAGACACAAATGCTAGTACGCACACACGTGTGCCTCGATACTTCAAAAATCAAACTTGAAAAAGCACCTTGCATGCTGTTCATCAGGGTGGATGGGTAGTGAAGAAATTCAGTTTGTTTCCAGTTAGCAACAAGTCCCAGTACCCAGGTCAGACCCATGACTGTGGTCAGCTTGATACAGATGAGGGTCAGAGAAGCTTTGGAGTTGTTTGCTGCTAGACTGGCACCCTAAGGTTAAGAAAAACACAAACGAACAAAAAGCTTTTTTGATTTATTCAACCATTTAATGAAAAATATGCAAAAGAAAATGTTTAAAAATTTCAAAGCGAACATATTGTAAGCTCATGGGTTTCTGTAAAGAACATCTTGAGCAGGATGCCTCCCAATTCTCAATCTTTACTGTCTGATGCCGGAATGCCTCCCACAGTCCTTAAGCCAAAGATCAAATCAATATATTATTCCAGTCCCTCATCAGACGTATTCGTCGTCATACATACCTTTTGTAACTGATGGATGCCACAGAGATTTTTCGTCAGACACGTTATATTGAAAACCAAAGCAAGGCTCACTGGGGTAGCCATAGCGACAATCACTGCCGTGTTGTCTGATATCCAGCAGTATTTCGATTTGCCTGTCAATTAGACACAACGATAAACTTTACTTATTTAAATCGTTTCTTAGAATCAGTCGGAGAAGCAGTCTGCATCAAAAAAAATTTGTCAACAATGATATGCTGATCGCAAGTTCTAAATTGTAATTGACTTGCGGATTGAGAATCCAGGAAAGTAATGATCCTCGTAAGTGAGCCTGAAAAGATTCAGGACTTCTACGGGAGTCGAAGCTGTGTATCGCTGATACTGGATGGCAGAAAGATAGCCTGAAAAAGTTCAGGACTTTGACGGGAGTCGAAGCTATGATACTAGATGTGCGCTTCTAATGATAACACGATATGAATAAATGGGGTAAGTTTCTGTGGAAACTGTGGTGCTGCGTCGGTGGGAGTAATAAGATAATTTGGTTTTATCTGCTGAGTTGATAATGTAACGCAAAGAGCACTAGCCCGCTCGAATCTTCAGCTTTGAAACATTTTATAATAAGGATATGCCGGCGTAAACGCGGCCGCAGGAAGTGAACATAACTTCCTATTTCTGCTCATTGATGGGAAACAGACAGTACACGTAACTATTTTAACTTCAAGCTTGTTGGTACAAACCATATCCGACATGAAATGATCCTGTGAAGTCAAGCACAGTGCATAAACCAACAACCACTACAGGAAGTCCCCATCCCACAATGCAATACTTGATGAAGGTCTTCCTCTGATTTAAACTTTATCTCCTTGCGTTGCCTGCTGCAGAAATTAACAACAAGTACATGAAGTGTGATTTTAGCGATTTGTACCAAAATCAGTATGATTGGTCACAGTATCTTCAGTCAGGCGTGATTAGACGCATTAATCTGTGAAATATATTAACGTATAGGTTGCTTAGTTGTGAGCTGTTTAGCCAAGTGGTTGGCGTCCTGTACCACAGATCGACAGATCTGATTCATAGTAGCCGTGTTTGCAAAAGAATAAAAGAAACAACCAAACTGTCAGAAACTTAACGAAATGCTCAGAGGCGACAGCGATGAACTACGTTCCCGACTAAGAACAGCTAGAAGCAGTGCTCTTTGTCGCTTCCTGCTGCAGAAAATGTATTTATGACCAAAGCAATGGCCGCTAAGCTCTTTAGAAAGTTCCGCTAACGCTCGTACACGAGTCGAGTAACGTTTCAGGGACGTAACCAATGTTGTTGACTCACCTTTAATGGTAAATGCATTTGCTGTATTAAACGCCATAACGCTCATCCATGAGAAAGCAGAGAGGACGAAGAAATGAAGAGAAATGGCAGTTGCCTTACAAAGAGCGTCCACTTCATTCGCCTTTTCCAAGGTGAAAAAAATTATTTGGTAACACAGTAACGCCCCACATATATTGACGAAACATTTTCCAGGCAAGTTTCTTAGCTCTTTGAAAAACAAGTAAGTGAGCAGAAGAGAACACAGAGAAATGACTGACAGAGTTGAACCAATTATAGTGAGATGAATGAGAACTGTGAAATCCTGGTTGGAATCGTGAGTAACTTCATCATCTGGACACAAAACATATACAGTGCTCCCATTCAATTGCATTATCATTACAGGGTTTTTGTCCAAGGAGGCGTTCATCTGTGCAGATTGATTTTTCACGGTAATGAACGCTTTGCAAGTTTTCCCAACAACAGTGATGGTACAGTCGCTACTGTTAGAAGTACAGTGTAACATTTTCGCAGTAACGTTCTGTGCGGTTTCTCCAGTTGGCTGGGGGGTATTTGGTGTTTTAGGATTCCTAAAGTTTCCGCTGACATCCAAGATAATCGACCAAGGAGGAATCCTCGGGTCTTCAGCGATCACTGGCTCGGGATGTCCTTCAGGATTGCAGAGAGCGCAATGAGGGTTCCTGTATGATACTTTAGCCTTTTGATAGTAAACTGCAAGGGGCATGGAATATGAAGAGCAAAGTTCTTTTACTACAGACATCCAGGGTTGTTTATTAGCTGCGCATACGATATCGTGCAATACACAGTGTCGTTCTTGGTAAGAAGATGTCTCGTATTTCCATGAACACCTATTTCCTTTTTCCAAGACGAACGTCCGAACTGCATTGATGTCCGACCCACTGGAATTTAATTTCTCGCCTTCGCATTTTACTCGAAGATCCCAAAAAGCCACGTTCCCTTCACTCCTACATCTGGCACAAGCAATATTCCTGTATGTAACATTATGCTTCCATCCAAAGACGGGTAGTTCGCTCTGTACCGTCATATTCAACTTTTCAGCAGCCTTACAATCCTTGCCAACTGGATTCCCCGACAGGCCACAGGAAGATTTCATAATTACCCCGAACCACAGAGGTTCATTGACGTCTCCACAAGTCACGTTCTGCCGTGGCGTGGCCTCTGAGATCAAAAGTCCTCTGGGACGTAGATCACATCTAACAAGAAAGCATTTACATTCTTCACTTTTGTATGAAGCAAGCTTGCTCTCCTCTTTTATCGATACTGTTATATTTTAACACCAAGAATAGCTTTACTGATACTTAATATTATTCTAAGCACATAATATTGTTTCTGATTATGTTCAAGACTGAACAAATAAAGACGAGAGGGGTGATTCTTGCCTACTGAAATTGCTTTCTTCGTAGTTACCATTTCAATTCATAGCAAAACGTGGGCTTTTCTTTATTATTCGATGTTAGTCGGCATTTACTCCCGCTCGTCTATTCAAGAGACGAGCAGGACTTAGGTACAAGGACTTGGTTTCGTTAAGATATTATTTCGTGTTGAGAAACTGTCTTAACTTGTAGAACATTTCTTATACCCTAAATACTGCTTTATCACTTCCTAACGGTACATTGACAGGACGGCAAGAGACCAAATATAAATGTATTTACGTACTTAGGATGTAAGTTTATTAGCGACGAACTTGATAA